TGTGCGTGCTTAAACATCCGCTTTCCGTACGGGATGATGTGGTATGCCAACTAATCCTGTCACTTGTTTTGCCACTTACCCCGCCACTCAGCTTTGCTTCGTAATGAGTAGAGATCCTCTTCTGGTATCAGAGCCACCGGTTGGACCGCTGTTCTGTCAGCGCCAAGGCCGTCATAGTTTAAGTAGGAAAGTTCCAGGAGATCCCACTCGTGCTGCCTAAGATAAACGGCAAACAAAAATCCCGCCTGGGATCGGATCGGTTATTGGCGAGCTTTGGCATATGAGGGTCTGTTGGCGGTTTGTCTGGAAGTTTGCTCATACAGGTGCGGTTATCACTTGCTGCCCCCCGGACTTCAGTAAAGTCCACTCAACTCGACTTGGTCAAGCGTCGTGCTTTGAGCCGCGGAGGCGCAACAGCCATTGATGTCTCGTCTGTATCCGGGATGGGTGATTTGATACAGCCTTTACTTTCGTGATAAACTATCTCGTGCATTTGCTGAATGTTGTGTGTCAGGCCCAGTGACTGTTGGACCAGTCACTGCCCTGATTGGTCAGGCTCCACATTCGGCCCACAGCTGCCCTCAAAAGGCAGCATCATCGCGGTATCGCGTTCTTCCTTCTTTTCATAGCATCAGCATGTTCTTCAGATAGAGAACTCATCATCTTCCTTCTCTTCTGATCTGTTGTTCATCATCATCTTCATACTGAACTCCTTCCCAAGCCGATCTGCTTCTCGAATGATGTGTGCCATATCTTCCAGCGCTAGATCGGGACTCAGAGCGCAAATCCGCAGCGCGACCTTCCCCTTTACTTTTGTAGTGAGTATACCCGCGACGTTGCTCGATATTAGTTCCTTGGATATCCTTGAGTTGATCGCGTCGTGCACTTGCTCGCGTTGGTCATCCACCGCCGCTGTCGTCCTGCCAGCGTACCGGAATGTGACGACACCCAGGTTCGCCGGACTCAATATCTCCCAATCCTGCAGCCCCCGAAGCTCGCTCTCAGCACTCTCGGCGAGTTTGAAACCGTGGTCAATCATCTCGCCAATTCTCTGTGTGCCGACTACACGCAGAGTAAACCACAGCTTCATAGCGCGTGACGCCGGTCTGGTGAGTTCCATTGTGCAATTCCAGAAGTTGGGAATGTCATCATCCTCAAATGCCGTTCCGTCCCGAAGGTAATCGCCCTCGTTCGCGAAGCTTTTCACCATATTGGCCTTGTCCTTGACGATGAACAGGCCGCAACTATATGTTTGAAAGAGCCACTTGTGCGCGTCCCAGGACAGGCTGTCAGCGTACTGCAACTCGTTCACCACGTCGCGTCTGGTAGCGGAGAGGGAAGCAGATGCCCCGTAGGCACCATCCACATGCAGCCACATGCCTTCCATCTTGCATACATCCGCGATCTGCTTTAGAGGATCAACTGCGCCCGTGTTCGTCGTCCCACAGGAGCCGACGACCAGGAACGGCACCAATCCGCTGGCGCGGTCATACTTGATCGCCTGTTGCAGCTCGTCGACGTCCATGCGAAAGCTCACATCCGATGGTAGCTTTCTGACACGGTTACTTTTGAAACCCAGCAGTCGCAGTGCCTTGGCGACAGAGTAGTGCGTCTGGTCGGACAGGTATGCCACGGCGCGTTGCTCCTCCCCGTGCGGCACACATTGGTCCCGCGCGAGCACGATGCCCATCAGGTTGGCCATGGAGCCCCCTGACACGCAGACGCCGCCTGCAGTGGCTGGCAAGCCGATGCGTGAGGCCAGCCACCCAATCAGCGTCTTCTCAATGACGACTGGCCCCGACGCCTGCAATTTGGAGGCACCCAGGGCGTTGAAGGCGCTCGCGACAACGTCCCCCAGCCACGCGATGGGTGAAGTCGGCGATGGAATCAGACCCATGAAGCGTGGGTGGTTGACGCGCAGACGAAAGTCAAAAGCTGTGAATGCCTCCTCGAGGACTTTCTCCACGTCGTGCGCAACTCCAGGCGTCCCAACCTCGCGCAGGTACGGCACGTGTTCCGGCTGGGCCACCTTGATGATAGGCTCCTTGTCGACATTCTGGCTTTGCTCAGCCAGGCGTCTCGTTAAGTCGTGGATGGCGGCGTGTATGTCTGTTTCCAAATGAAAGCCGTCGCTTCTGTCAGTGACAGCCATGATAACGGGTGCGATTGATCTCAATACCGTCTGCGACCCGACTCGCCACTATGTGGACATCATTCTTATACCTTTCGCGACCATGGCCACGAGTCCTCCCACTACTCATCTGTTCCTTTGAGAAAGGCGTGCGCCCGTGTCATTGTGCGCCTTTCGGCATCGCAGTGGGTCGCGGGGATAAGACAATGTGCGCCTTTCGGTATCGCAGTGGGTCGCAGGGATAAGACAATGTGCGCCTTTGATGGCAATTGCTGATGAAGGATTGGGGGGGCGGCGGCCCCATTTGGGATTGCTTGATTTCGGTTCTGTCTGGTCAGGACGAGTTTGATGAATGAGTTTGGTTTGAGCCCGTCATCTTTTGGAGGCGCACCTCCAGTCGCGTCCGTTCAGGTCTTGCATACCCTATGGTCTGGTGTTGACTAGTATCATTGAATATGCCCATATTCAGTTGCTATGGCTATATCATATCTCCTTTGTTATAGCAAGAAACGCATGACTAATTTTTTACATTTTCTGCAATGTCCGTGCATGTGTTAAATGGGGTATGTCTGGTTGTATAGTAACGGTAAACCACATGCGAGTGGCCCACCCCAAGCGAGTGGCCCACCTCTATCACCTATCGCGTACGAAAAGGATGATCAAGAATAATATAATAAATTAAATTATAGATACAATAAATAGATTGATAGCGTAAGTCTTATATATCTTCTGGATAACTTCGCACGTTATGACTTACTTTAGTGTATCTACTATAGCGTGCAGGCTTCGGACTGCCTGATGGTTAAGGGCGCCTCTTCGTGCGCTTCGCTTCCTAAATCTATTTATTAACCTTTTTTTAATTAATAAGATCTTTCCTATCTTATATAGTTAGTGTGCCTCTATGCTAGAGATAGCTTCTTTTAACCCCTCGGCGCTTGCTTAATACCTTATTTATTATACGTAGTGATATATTCTCTGCTTATAAGAGGACTACCTGATATATCACTACTATAGCCCCTTTCGTTAGTTAATCTAAGGTATTAAGTATAGGCGTTGGAGAGCTATTCTAATAGATAGAGATCCGAGTCTTAATATATTCCGACTGCGCGCTAGCCTCGTGCGCGTTTTACGGCGTTTTAAAGATCTAAGGGTAGGTAGTCTTAAGTAGATCTATAGGAGGAGTTAGCGTACGAAGCTTTATATTAAGCTTCGAAAGAACCCTTTCTAGGTCGTATAGTATAAGCCTTATACCTTTAAATCCTCCCTAGATATTCGTTTCGGTAATAGTATGGAAGAAGGCCGTACGAAATACGCGAAGGAAGTCGACCTTTAAGATATATATAATATAAGCACGTATTAGATCTTTAATTTATCGCCTATATATTTATTTAAGTAGCCTAAAGTAGCTAATATCGAGGGGCTGAAGAATATAGGAAGAATAAGCCGGTATATAAACTATAATAATCTTCTTCTCTTAGTAAAATAGCTCGAAGTTAGTTAAATAGTGACTTTTATAGCTATCGAGGATAAGTATTCGATATATACCTTTCGTACGAGAGCTTATATAGTAATTAAAATACTTAATCTACTTAAGGCTAATCTTATTAGTTATCTAGCCGTTCTTAGTCATAGCGATAACTTAATCGGCCGGAAGGTCGGTCCCTTTATACTAAGTTAATAGATAATACTTTACCGCGAGGATAATAAAGGGAGGGATAGCCTAGCCACGCGTTATAACGCCTTAGATAATAGTTACTTATTCTTTATTTCCGGGCTAGGATAGTCTAGCCTTAGTACGAACTTCTAAGGTCGTGATAACTATACCCGCGAAGATAATACTTATTATAAAGCTAGTCTTATTAAAGTTATAGATATCGTTATCTAGGATCCCGTACTTAGCCTATATATTCCGCATAAGCGTGAACTAGCCCTTAATAAGTCTCGGATCTTCGTATTTAGCCCGCTAGTAGTTATATTTACGAACCTAACGCGTGCGAAGTTCTTGATAGCGTTTAATAAAGTTTAAAGCCTAATACGTGCTAACGGGTAGCGCGTCGCGTACGCGTAGAAGTTAGTTAGCTATATCTTTAATACTATAAAGTCTTAGAAAGAACGATCGCGAAGATAGATCGATTATATACTAGATAATTACTTTTTCTTCTAAATTAGTTAAATTTATTAAATTCGGCCTAGTTTCTACTCGGACCGTATGGCCTTACTTTCGGTAACGGAGTATCGTACGAGGTATATTATAGACCTTTATAACGTGCCGTATGCTTAATAATGGGTTTTCTTCGATAGCTTTAAGGGCTAAAAGGACCCTAGATTCTTTCGGAAGCTTATCTATGTTAAATTATGGTGATAATTAGCGAGGAATGTCAACGCACGCGATAGGTGATGGAGGTGGGCCACTCGCTTGGGTGGGCCACTCGCATGTGGTTTACGTTAGATGTATTACTTAGTGGGAAAAAACAAACAATTTGTCTCAGGTTAAAAGTGTCATGCAAGGGGATAGCAGATGCGTCTATCCGGGTCAAGGTCTTGTAACTACTTTGACTTTAACTTCATCTTCGAATTGCTTGCTGATGTTCCATGCGTGGCTTTTTTCACAGGGCGCTGGGTTCGTGTGAGTACTCTGCGAAATCTGTGTGAAATGGTTTAGGGTAGGCGTGAACACCCACCTTGCCACAGCCACACGAAAGGCGCGCGTCATCCTGAATTACTGAGAGCATGCGCCCATCCACATGCGCAATGGCAGCTGCAATTCTCACATCCCGTGTTAGGGGCCGAATCACGATACCAGAACCATCGTCTCTCACGAATCTGCTTCGACGACAAATGCACCGCGCTGAGGGCGTCGGACAACACCATGACGAAACACGCGCTTGTTGACCCGGGTGATCTTGCGCGGGCTCTTGTCAGCAATCGCAGCGCTCTCTCGGCCGTGCTCAGCTCCGACGCAATGGACCCATGGACCCTCATTGAGCTGCGACGCGCGCTGCGTTGTGTTGACATCAAGGCCAGGGCGACAACAGAGCGCGGCTTTCACTCCCTCGAGCACCTGCCCCCTGAACTCATCATGCGCATCGCAAATGGCCTGAAGATGCATGACCTGTTGACCACTCGTCTCGTGAGTCGGCCCTGGAAAGAGACATTATGGCAACCCTTGGTATGCCTCACCATCGCACGAGAAGCGTTTCCTGGGTTGGAGCAGCTGCACGCCCACCAGAATATTCACACGACATTGGAGGGCGCTATTTTGACTCAATTGGCTTTGGTCAGTCGCAGCGTCGAGGGGCGAAGTGCACTGCACGCCATTCCGTTCTACGAAGCTACGCCCATGGTCGAACCCCCCAAATCACTATTATCCGCCATTCAAGGCAGATTTGTGGAATCGGGTAAGGCTCCTGCGTGTCTGTACAGGAACAAGAGGCTTGCTTTCCAGCCCTCCAAGGACAAGATTGTGATTGATGACCTGGGGAATGGTACCCGGCGTGGCTTGCGTCTCACTGTCGATGTGAGAAAGGCTACCGCGCTGCAGCTCCTCGCCGCCTTTTCTGGGCAAGTGGTGGCTACTGTCGAGGTCCAGGGGCTCGACTTCGGGTCGCGATACATGTCAGTCATCTCCCCCTCTTTTCCGCAACGTTAGCTCACGTCTCAGACACGTATATGACACGACCAGTAGCCTGTCAAAACGTGTAGTCCTGCCAACACACCTCTCTCGATGTTTTGCGACCAGGCAAACTGTTGCCGCTGTCTGCAGAGGCGGGCAGGTGATGGTTGTAAATGCGCAACGGACTGTCGAGGAGATCTTGCCAGAATCGCCTTTTGCCAGTGCATGTGTGCAACGTCGACCCAATATAGCACCTTTTCACCGTCTACCAGCCATCGCCATACACCCTTGGAGCGACGACAGCTTATTTTTAGTGTGGACGTACGTACATGACGCCGGGCGCGGCGTGAACGACGGTATGTCTCTGGAGTGTTTGTCGCGCAGTATTCTCACTTTCTCCAGACTATTCTCAGCCACATCAATATGCAATCTGCGAGTACTCGCGGAACGATGGACGCTGGACAGAAAAATCCATTGTCCGTCACCAGAGGCGCCTTGCGCGCAACGAGTGGGAACTAGCACACGGCGAGTCCCGGATCACCCTCAGTCAGGACTGTCACGTGGTTGACAATTGCGGATCATTCCAGCTGGCAACATATACATCTTCGCCGCGCGCGACCATGACCGGGCAGCCTTGCGAAGGCTGGAGCGAGAGGGTCTATTGCAACGTGTTCACAGGGGCTTTCTGGGCGATCAAGGAGCCCACTTCAGGAGTACAAGGGCGCACCGCTCGCCGTCGACACCCGCCGAGCCTGCCTACGCCAACGTGGAACGTGACGCAGGCTATAGTCACCTGTACATGGAACCAGACATTGTATAGCGTTCGCGAAGAGACCAACGCTTCGCAGATTCCATATGGCCCAGAATCAGCGGACACGCCACCGCCGTTGGTGCTCGATGAGAGGCCAGTGATAGGGAATCAGCGGCTGCGCCTGAATGACCAACCATCCACGACGACCCTTTCCCGTCTGCAAGGATTCTCTGACCTGCTGGACGTATGGGTCGATGATGACTTCATCGTACTGGCGTGTGAAAGCGGGTACCTCCTTCGTTCCAAGCGCTCAGGAAGCAACAAGGGCTGGATTCCCGCGACGGGCACGGGCAACTCCCATTCCCAAGGGCCTCTCATCTCTTTGAATAAGGATGTGAGAGTACCAGATCCCCCGCCTGAGTGGTCCTTGGGCGAGTCTCTAACCTTGCTCACCTGAAGCGGTCACGCTGGGGAAATGACGGATTGGCCACTAGTCCAGCATTGAGATTGCTGGGCCTGAGGTTGCATGGACAGGCAGAAGACCTTGTTCGTCATTGTACACGAAACAGTGTTCGTCAGCACAATACCACGAATCTCGTATTCGACCCGCATGGCGACTTCGCTGCCCTCCACATACACGCCAAGCGACCTTATCCAAGAGCATCCCATCGGCCAAGGCCTCAAAATGTGTTCTCCAGATAATACGCATCATAGGCAACCTCGTCTGGTGCCCTTGTGGCACGCCCGACAATGACCCGATCATTCATCCATCTGTACTTCTCATACCCTATCTCAAGTTTGACGTGGAGATGAAACCAGTACTGGCAGTCGTCCGCGTCTCCTCCCGTCATCAGGGCTTGCAGGACCTCGGGCGAGCCAGCTCGGATGCCCTCCGTGCTAGAGGCTTCGGGTAGTCCAGAATCGTGCGAATGTAAGCTCAACTCACTGGATGTATAGAAAGGCGCCATCGTCGGTCTTCACCACGTAATTGGCGTTGACACGCGTCGCTTGATTCTCCTCTATGAGCCTGCAAAGTCGCGTCAGCCATGTTCCACCGTCGCGAGAAGGCCAAAGACATGAAATCAGTTCCTCCTGGCAAGACCTGTCCTTGGACGTGCGGTCCATGGACTTGACCTGATGCAATGGGCACGCACCGTCTCTGCCCGTACGGCTCTTGGCCAACGTCCACCGGAGCGTCCACAGCGCAACGAAGGCTGAACAAGTGCACCAATTTCGGCGGCAGGGCGATGGTGTTCATTTGAGCGAGATGAGATGAGTTGCGCCACGACAGGAGCAGTGGCAGAGTGTGTGAGTCCAGACATAGACACGGTCATGCGAGGGCCTCATCTCGGCACTCACGCACGTCGTAGCGCCATCAGGTCCCGCACATTCTCGAAATCAGTGCAGCCAATTGGACAATGACGTCCATTTGTGACGGAGCACACGATTCGGACTACGGCACATGTTTTCGGGATAGTCGGATGGCAGTTCCTACATGTAGACCCTAACGTGCCCACAGGAACGTAATCGCGACTCCACAGGATCGTTATGACGTAGCATTGAAATGATGGTACGCCTCAACTATTAGAGTCGGTTTCTCATGGATCATATCAAAAAAACTTCGGCGAGCAGATATTGATTCTTAAACACCGCCTTCCATCCACGCACTGATCCTTGCGTCGCAGCTGTGTGTCTAAACCACTGACACAATGCCTCCGAACACTTCGCTCCCTCAATTTCTCACCAACACGGATCTTGATCCTTCCTTTGAAAAGGAAATTCGAGACATTCACCTCATATACGACTACGACGCGCAGAGCGCCGATGGAAAGCCCGAAAAGTGGCGGTATGAGATGTGGTTCTTCTCCGAGAACCGCATCGTCTACGCGATCCACGGGGGCCCCATGGCAGGTAGGGTGAGCTACCAGACGGCGACCTATCAGTGCATCCGCCCAGGGGAACTGTGGCAGTGCAACTGGCTCGAGGAGACGGGCACCATCTGCTCGCTCGTGTACGACATTACGCAGCAGACCATTACGACACTGCTTGGATTCTCCAAGGGCCACTGGGAGAACCCGGAGGACGCGCATGGCGACAAGAGGAACCCAGAGGACTTTGAGCGCTGGAGGGGCCTTGCGAAAATGGGTACGCAGGTCGACAGGTTCATGTTGTCGGAGCAGGCCAACATCAAGGAGAGCTTTAAGGGAGCAGGACAGCTCAAGCCGATTGCGCCCGACGCTGAAACCTTCTGATGGATGGCGCCCAGAGGCGGGGTGCATAATGGCTTTGATTCTGTTATCTGAACATGTGCTTACTATTTAGTATAATCGGAAGAAGACAGCCATGTTTAGTCTGTGTAGTGCTTAGTGCATGTCTTCGAGTGGAAGCTGTCTCTATATGGGTGCTTGAGAACAATGGCCTTCCCCACTGACAATACCGCGTGTATGCTCTGCATATCCAATGTATTGAGCCCAAAGGTTCATGTTTTCTTCGATTGACCACTAGTCGTAAATCTCGAATCTTGTGATCCACCAGCCGCCTCGTGTCGTCTATCTGACACGACCCTTTGATGTGAAGATGGAGTGTGGCAAACACACAAGCTAACACGAGCCCTGTTTGACTTTCGCTTGAAGTGACGCTCTCCTACGCCCTCCCGGACTTCCGTGCACAGCTGAATACCATTACGATAAAAGTAGTCGGGCTTAAGGATACCCACGTCCATGAGACGCTCCCGCCGAGCTAATCGCACATCATTGTCTGGATTGAATAAGTCTCGCTTGATCCCCAAGCCCTGAATTCTGTACACACGACCGCCCGGATCAAGGCCATCAATGCAAGGGTTCCCACCTCCGTGGTATACAATCGCTTCTGCCTCGCTGCGAATGTCAATGCCCATCAGCCGGAGGCTCCGGATCGAGATAAAATGTGATGCTTGGTCTCTGCGACTCATCACGTTCGCTCAGTCCAGTTCTTCTTTCATATCGTGAAGCAATTTGGGGCATTGTCTTTCGCCGCTCTTCATGAAAAAGAGGAAGCTCAGTTCGATAGATCGAGGAGTAGACGGCATAGCAGAGAAGAAGTGAACAATATCGTTTCGCTTAACGACGAAGCGTGAGAGACCAAAATGCCGCAGTTGTCTCCACTGGTCCAACGAGAAAATTGTGCGAAGCGGAAAAAAAGTGTTCCTCCCCACCACCATCGTACTTGTCCAGACTATATGCCGATGCTGGCACAATGAGGCCAGTTGCGAGACTGACATAGCGATGATCTTTAGGTTCGACCAGAGCTTGTCGTAACAATCCGCTCCGATCGCATGGCCAAATGGAGTTCCTTTGGTCACCGGTGGAGAGCGCAAGATCGAGGCGAGAGAAGCTTAGGCTTTGGAGCACAGAGGAGATCCTCATGTTCTTGATTGTGGCTCACAGCGTCAACCATGCTGCATCTCACGCCATTTTGAAGCCGATTGACGTCGATGGCAAACTCGGTGATGCCGTGTGGACGTTCAGCCAGAGTCCTCAGCACGACACGAAGACCACGCCATTTTCTCTTCTCTCTCTCTCTAGTCATCCCAGGGCGGCACGATGCGGCTATGGCCACTTTCGCTCTTTAACCGGGCCAATAACATGGGACAGCGTAAATGAAGCCGTAAGGAAAACTACGTATCATTGGCGCCTCGTACAATGATCGTAAAGGTACGGCGTGCGCCACAGGGGACAAGGTTACTTCTTGAGGTTGTGAAAGCATTTCAAGCCATTTTCAATGGCCGCAATGTCGTCACCGGCGGCCAAGACCTTTGCTTGTTCGTGGACAATTTTCTGGTAGTGCTTGGATGATTGCATGGGGCTTAGCCGTGATTCATACTGGTTCTTCTGTTGAATGTGATGAGGACGATCCACATATTCACCTCTGGTGTTCGCGAGGTTCTCGCAACAGTCCTGGTCAAATCGCCGATACCAGGTCGGCACCCCTCGATTTAGTGGACAATCTGGTTCGTCGAGTGAATCGGTTACTTTCCTTAACCCTTATAATAAGAACTTTAACTCAAATATAATATATTATTTAATTAATTTAAACTAGTCCCTATAGTCTTCCAAAAATATCTTTATGTTAGCTTAATGCATTAATGAGTTATATCTAGCCTTTCCGCATACACTATAATTAATACCTTGTGCTTAGGTTCACTAACCTCACCCGGCTGTCTCTCCTTCATATAGCCGGTTCGCTTGTTGATTATATTAGCTCTTAGGTTTCTATGTACATTTTATCGATATTGGTATATATTGTATTAATAATAACTAGCACGCCTTAAAATAAAACTGCGTCGTATGTATGGGAACTTGGCCAACTATATTCTCGTAGAGAATAACATCTAAAGCATTTGTTTGTAAAGAAATCGTGAGTCCCTGTGAATTAGCATTACGATGAATGCCTTGTTTACTATTTTATGCTTGGCCAACTTACCCCGTACATCAATGGGATGGGGATCCACAGGTCAGGGATCTCCATCTCTGTCAATACTGATAGCTGAGGCATATGGAACGCATGCTTATCGAGCTGCCCATCTTTTTAGCACTGGTTTCTAGTATGTGGATGTGCCATTTTTAGAGGACTTACGAATTCTCCCAACCTATCTTCCATCAAATGATGTAGGCGCTTCTCGAGTCCGTCAAGCACCTCGGGTTGGATAGCATGGATAATCCGTGGCTGCAAACGGGAGATGAGTCCTTCGTTAGCGTGCATCTTTGCCAGCTGAAAGGCCGTGTGACGGTCTTTGTCAAATGATCTCACGGTCTCTTCTCGCCTTGTCAGCAAGTCCCAGGCGTTTGAGAGTCATTGTGGGATTTGGCCTACTCCAGACTTCTGATGAGCATGTATTGTTGCATAGCCTTTCCCATGCCTCATACTGCTCGGTGTCATCAACCTCGGGACATGACTTGATGGCTAGGATGTGGAGAAATGTCAAGTGATCGTAGAGCAGATTTTCGCCTTGATCTAATACGCTGCGTCAGTCTCCCGGAGAGCTCTCAAATATTGCAAGTAGGATGGAGGGTAGGGTACGTACCAGTCAGGTTGCCAACATTAAACCATTCTCTCTTCTGAAAATCGTACTCCGTCTCGATAATCTTTTCAGCCTCTACCCAATCTTCTCGCCTGATAGCCTCCTGCCAGGCCACTCGCCGTGAGGCGTAGTGGTGTGGGTAGCTCGACTTCAGGGCACCGCCAAACCAGGTGGCCATGTCCTTTGACCGCGTCTTCGCCAGACTGTCGTCCAGCTCAACGTCTATGTTATGCGTACATCGGAGCTCGTCAAGCGCCTTCTGTCTCAGATTTCTGTACTCCACGGCGTCATCGAGTCGTCCGAGCTTATCCGCCAGACCAGCGCAGACGTCAAACTTGGAAGCAGACACTGCGTGAAGAAAGCACCTCCGTTGTCGCTCCTTGCATCCTTGATTCGAGGCATGCTCCAGACCATGATCCCGGTTAGTATTCATCATAACCACGAGGAGCTCATAGTAAGTCTCTCCTTCGTTCTCGAGTTCCTTCGTCGCGATAAGATGGAAGAATGGGCCTCGCAGCAAGATTTCCTTCTCTCCCTCCGAGGACACGTGCGCAACGGGCATTGCGCATATCGAGGTCACGACGCTGTCCGGATAGCGAGCCTGATACTCCTGCAGTAGTCTCGGATCCATACCGTGGATGTGAATCGTGAGATGGACGCGGATGCGTCGCCGGTCGCCGCTACTGGCTCCCTGCTGCTGCGACTCCTGCTTCGAGAATTCGTCCATGACCTTCTTGTCGGTCGAGCTGGATAGCAGGCCCAGAGGGGTGGAGAAATTCCGACGGGAGCGGTCTTCACGATCCATGATGGCCTTATACTCGCTCATCTCGTCCTCCGTGACCTTTAGGCCTCTGTACGTGACGCCCTCGAAATTGGCGTACCGGGGATGTCCAATGTTTGTTAGGCGGAGGTTGTAAAGATCAATTGTTAGCAGCTCAACCATGACTATGGCAGACTCCAGGACCTCGTCGGCCGCCTTCTCATTTCGCATCGCCTTGCAGATCAGACTGTAGAGAGAATTAAATCCGGCGACGGATGTATAGAGCTCTATGGCGTCGAGCTGCTCCACGGGCGGCTTCTCCGGCCGCTGGTTGTCAATGTCTCCATAGTCGCGAAAGCCTCCTAGGAGCCTCAAGAAGATCTGCTGGGTCTCATCTGGCAGTAACGATGGTTGTATGTGTCGCCGGACTCTCTCCATCATAAGTCGATACTCATCGTTGGATTGCCATGCCTGTCGGACTTTCTGCAGATTGGGTCTGATGGCCTCCATGCGCTGCGTTTCGTGATGACCGCCAAATGCGGTCTTCAGCCCTACTGAGTCAGGCATAGCTTCGAGAAAGCGACTCAAGGCTGTCATTGTGACTGAAGTAAATCGCGACCTAGATGTGTGCGTGTGGTCACACTGAAATGCATTCTTGGGCTAACGATGAGGTGCGCCTCCTTGAAATTGAATTCTGTCCAACAGAGTGCTATTTATAGCATGATGGTGAATCTGCCACAAACCCGCGGGATGCCACCCAGTCCCCGAGATCCTGGTGTCCTATGACTCCTATCCATGTAGATGTGGCGGCGCCCGTGGCATCGTTTATCCCTCGGCTTAGCTGTCCACATAATGGCGCGGCTGGATTTGTGCGAGGGTGTGACGAGGGTAACCCGAAAATTTGTACCATGCAAGCATACGGTCCCTTATTGTAGACGCTTGTTGAACATTCGAGACTGCATAGATTAGCGTTTGGCGGATGAGGCTGACGGCGGGCAGCTGAAAAGGACTTGGCTCAAGGTTTACGAGCATGGTCACAACCTGTTATAGGTGTCCTAGAATATTCGAAAAGCAGCGAAGCTAGTTGCACATTTCCCAACAATAGTACAGTAAAACCCAAAGGCCGCATCGGATTGCATTTTCGAGTCTGCAAGATGTTATTCGAGGGGGTGTGTACATGCGAGCGGTCCTCACCAAAGCGGGGGAATCCTCCAACGCGTCGACGAAACTGGACCTTACGCAAATGCATTTCCTTGCCAAATTGTGCTTTAGAGAGATCAAAGAATTACTTGTCTAGTCTGGTAGCGGCTGACACTAATTGCGATAGAACAGAGACGCAAATTTGCGCTGAGAGGGAGGTGATCGATAAAAAGTGAACCTAGTAATGCCCTGCTCAAAAACCTATGGACAACGCGAAGCTATGGGCGTTGTTTCATTGCATGAAAATGCAATTTAGTGCATGAAAGTGAAAGGATATGATGCACCTTGCGGTGTGACAAAAAAAGGAACAAATCGCTGGGAGGAAAGGCAGAAAAGGAAGATAACATAGACGATAGACGTTCATTGGTCGCCAATCACACTATCCATCCAATGGCATCTGTGTGATTGCATGTGATCCAGCTTTTTCTGCATGAAATGGCTTGACACGGCGTGACGCCGTGACGACACACTCGTGTCCAGCCTCATTACCTGGAAGCAGTGCCAACACTGAAGCAAATGTGTAGCAATAAAACCCAGCAAAGACCTCCTTTTATTTGACAACCATCTCATGGGAAAAAGGGAGATCCATGTGCCCTAAATTTCACTGGCAGCCATCTGAAGCAGAAGACTGGTGGTGTCTGCAGACGTTAGCACATGATCACTCAGCCTCTTAAGTTTCTGTTTGCTATCCTTGTCTTTCTTTCTTTGGATCTTCTGGCATTTATGTTGTTATCGAAGTGAGTAAGATGGAAGTCTTGAGTGCCGTGGCAGTGGCCACCGAGTCGGCCTCCCTCTGTGTGAAGGCTATCACCGCCCTCAAGCGATTCTCCAATGGCTTCTCGACGGCATCTGAAGATCTCGAGAACGTCATGCTTCGCGTCAAGCACGCTAACAATCTGCTCGACATCATCCGCGGGCTGCTGATTGAGCTCAAGACTAGCAACGTCCAGGAGTACAACGTAATTATACCCGTTGAGGGGCTCCGCGTCACTCTCAACGAGATACTCGATATGGCCGGAAACTTCACCAGGCAGGAGGCCCGTCTGAGTTGGTTTCGCAAGGCCAGCTGGTCAATACACAGATCGAGGTCGCTGAGGCTAGTCCAGCGCCTAGAGCAGCACCAGCGAGAACTCTTAGAAATTATTAACATGATCCATGTGTGAGTTGCGCATTAGCCTCTTGTCATTGAAGGGTGGTATTTGACGCTGACTGCAAATGCTTCGAAAAGGTTGTACAATGTACGTTCTGACAACGAGATTGGTACATCTATCAAAGAAGCGAAGGAGACTTCAGAAAAGCGAAGCTCCTTTTCCTCGGCAACCTTAATAAATGACGACACCGCCCAGAACACCGATATCAACACGCATGTGCCCAGAACCTGGCTGGGGCATATGCACAGTGACGACCCCTATCTTCCGGAACATTATAGAGAAATGAGAAGCGAGCTTGCAGACATGGCCTACCATGGAGAATGGGACGTGGTCTTTGATATACTACAACGAGCGCGACTCGACTTCAACGAGAACTGGGTCAACGCTCCCAGGATGAGTGAGTCCACCGCATAGACGGAATGTATCTTGGATGTTAAGAAGTCCCAGAGCCCCACGGTAGCGACCTGTCACTTTGGACGCCGATGCATCAAGCGGTATACATGAGCGCAAGCCCTACGGTGGTCGAGAGGCTCCTAGGTCTTGGAGGATCCCGTACGTGCACCCTTCCCGTATTGACCTGGAGAACAAGCATAACCCCAATTGTGCTAACCATGCCATGCCGTAGGTGTACTTAGAACAAGATGGTCAGAATTTTCATACCCGAATATGACCCCCCTAGAGATTGGATACGAACTGGGAGAGAAGGCCCTTTACGACATCATTTGTCCCGTGATTCGTCAGCCCGCGGAGGCAGATACACTTTTCAAGCTCCAGCATTTCTTCCACTTAATCATTAGAGAAGAGATAAGAAAAATCATCGATGTGGGGAGTTTGCACCTTCCCCTCTTGGAGCAATTGACCGAGCTCCACAAGCAACCCGTCTGGTTCCCGATTCATTGCCGGATTCCGAGGACGGGGTACCTGTACGTGCTGGATGGGAGAGAATTGTCCGTCAAGTCAAGACACATAGCCGGTCCTAGTGTAGAGTACGAATACAGGGTGACCAGGGAAGGAATATTTCCGGTAGGAGAGAGGTGTATCATCTCTGTGGACTATTGATGTCCTCGATCGACTTAAGACTTCGCATTAGTCCACGACCTACTCCAATACAACTGGGCACAAGCTCTTCGCAAACATATCATTCTATTTCCAAGGGTCGGGCATGTGATACTAAGTGTTTCCTACCATTCGACAAAATAATGGAGGCTGATGAGGATAGAAGTAAAAACCTTACGAACCCGCTAGCTTACTGGCACCCCTGCCTGCCATGTTCTCGCACCGCCTTAGAGGACATAGAAGAGAGCGAAGAGACACCCAACCCCTCAAGGGAACAGACCAAACGAAAATGCACCAAATAGTATCGGGACGCAGGAAATTAGCTGCGCTACGCACGCCGAATACCAAAATTGCCGCCACATCATTTGCTGGCTGGCCACGTCCCCGTGGGTGTCTTGGCACCGCAGTGGGAAAATGTTAAACCCGTTGACATTGCCCATCTCCATGAACCATACTGTAGTGAAGAAATACAGCGCGCTGAACGTGGACTCGCTGTTGGCTGTACTGAGATCCCACAACTCCGAGACATACTCGTCGATGGAAGAGGGGGAGCTGGACAGTGCTACCGAGAACGAAGGTGGCTGTACGTGAAACTCGAGGGCCTCTTGGTCGGCGGGGAGATCGAATATCGAGTATATGTGCGAAACAGCTTCTCTGTAACCCTCCAGGCCAGGGCGGAACCCGATCGTTTGCACTGGGGGGGCGTCTAACTGGGAGGACCCGGCACCGCTTCTTGCGAGCAGTCTCAGCCTGCCCATCTTCTCCTTCATGTCTTTTTCCAGTGCACGTTGGGACATGAAAACAAGGTACTCTGCATGGCAGAGCGCATACATCAGATCCCTGCCCACGAGATGCGTCCCGGGTGCCCGGGCGCAGAGGAGCAGGCTACGACGAGGGCGGTCTGGGAGGTTATCGGCGTGGATCCAAGCCGCTAGCAGCTGGGCCTGGCCCTTGGATAGAAAAACTCGTCCTCGAAACCTAGCCATCGTGGTCCGCAGTCTCTGCAGCGGCTCGCTGACCAGCCAGCGCCCAGCCCTCATGTGGTCGAACAAGACCATCATTTCCGCGTCAGCGTCTTTGTGCTCTTCCGCGATCTTGGGGGACCAGGCAGCGTCAAACCCACGTGAACTACTCGGGAGCACATATACTGTCCCCTCATGATGCGTCGTCGGGAGTGAAATCCTCAATGTGTCGTCCGAGTAGGCGTGCGATGCGTCGCCGTAAGGATGCTTCGGGGCCCCGCCGTAGAGAAACACGACAAGTCCTGCCAGGCTCAAAACGGGGGATATCGTATTGAAGCCGGCTGCAAAGGCCGACGCCGACGAAATCCCCACGGCTAGGCAGAGTGAGACGCATAATCCCGCGTAGAGACGAGGCCCGAGCCCCGTCTCCCAGTCAAAGGGCCCACGAACTTGAATAGATCGCCACAGATGCGGGGTACGATCATGCCTCTCGTCCAACTTGGCGACGGTCCATTTGCAGAGCCAGACGATGAATGCGATTTGAACAATGATAGGCGCCTCTACGGCTAGCGCAATGGAGTTCGCCATGGAGATATGGCCGGAATTCGTAGACTGCTTGTGGACTGCGAACAGGACAGAGGCAGACCACATAGTCGCCGTAACTCCGACGATGAGGACGGCTAGAGTGTCGGTGGACAATCCTCTTCTTCTGAGGACAAAACCTCGATTGACGAGCATCCGGTGCTGGAGAAGCCATGCTGTGCAGGCCAAGAAGCGCCAGGTGACCTGTTGAGTAGAATCATGTCAATGACTTGGGTTCACCGAATTATCGCGTGCCGCTGGCAGGACGTGAGCTAACATACAATAACACTAGCGAAAGGCTCGTCGGCCATTGCGGACTGCGGCATTTTGGAGTAAATGTTTATAGAGGAGAGCGGAGGTAGACTAAGACGGGTTGAGGAGGATTAACCCTACGACCGCATGCGCTATTATACGGCCCGCACGTTGATATAACGTATATCAGTAATTACTTCGGATTATGTACAAAATACTATAATCCGGATTATTACGCTTATCTCATAACCTTTATAGTCTGTAAGAATTATAAATCTCATATAATAATGTAGAAGAAGCTTAGTATTAGGATAGTTAGTCTTTAATAGTTCCTTAGTCTTTAATTAAATTATTTACTCAAGATCTACAATCTCGTATATAAATTATAACCCGACCGCTTAAATTAGCGATATCTAAATATACTTAATTAAACGTAATCCACATGCGAGCGGCGCACCCGAGCGAGCGGCGCACCTTCCCTGTTATCTACACACGACTTTATTCCTTACTAATTATTACTGTATTTAATAATAAATAAACCTCTAAAAGAATCTAAGGTAGCCCTTACCCTCGTAGCTCTCGGAGGAGACGCGTTATTAAGTATCCGATATATTACGAAGGTCTATAATATACCTCTAACGATTATATATCGCTAACTAATGGGTTTTAAGGCTAGAGCTAAAACTAGGCCGAATTTAATAAATTTAACTGATTTATAAAAAAAAAAGCGATTATTAAGTATATACTCGATCTATCTTCGCGATCTTTTCTTCCTCGACTTTCTAATATTAAAGATATAGTTCACTAACTATTACGCGTACGCGACGCGCTACTTATTAGTAAGTACTAAGCTTTAAACTTTATTAAATATTAAAAAAAAACTTCGTACGCGCTAGGTTCGTAAATATAACTATTAACGGGCTAAATATAAAGATCCAAGATTTATTCAGGGCTAGTGTATATTTATATAGAATATATAGGCGAAGTATAGGATCCTAAATAACGATATCTATAACTTTAATAAGATAGGCTTTATAATAAGTATTATCTTCGTAAGTATAGTTATTATAACCTTAGAAAGATAAATAAAGGCTAAACTAGCCTAGCTTAGGAATAAGGAATAAATAACTAGTATTTAAGGTATTAATATGTGTGACTAAGCTATCCCTCTTTTTATTGTCCTCGCGGTTAAGTACTATTTCTTAGCTTAGTACGAGGGGACCGACCTTCCGGCCGATTAAGTTATCACTATAACTAATAATAGCTAGATAATTAATAAGATTAGCCTCGAATAAATTAAGTACTTTAATTATTATATAAGCCCTCTTACGAAAGGCGTATATCGAATACTTATTCTTAATAGTTACGAAATTTATTATCTAACTAACTTTAAGCTCTTTTATTAAGAGAAGAAGATTATTATAGTCTATATACTAGTTTATTCTTCCTAGATTCTTTAACCCCTCGATATTAGTTATTTTAGGCCTCTTAAAAAATATACGGGTAATAAGTAAAAGATCTAATACGCGTATATATTATATATATCTTAAAAGTTAATATCTTTCGCGCCTTTTATATAGCTTTCTTCTGTACTTTTACGGAGAAGAATAAAAAAAGAGGCTTTACTAGTACTAGCCTTATATTATATAACCTAGAAAAGGTCCTCTCGAAGCCTAATATAAAGCTTCGTACGTTAAGTCCTCTAATAAACTTTATTAAAAATAAGCACCCTTAGGTCTTAAAGACGCCGTAGAATATATATAAGGCTAGTATATAGTTAGAGGATATTAAGAATCGGATCTCTATCTATTAGAATAGCTCTCTAACGCCTATACTTAATACCTTAGATTAACTAACGAAGGGTACTATAGTAATAATATAATAGGTAGCTCTCTTATAAGCGGAGAATATATCGCTACGTATAGTAAATAAGGTATTAAGTGAGTATTAAGGGATTAAAAGAAGCTATCTTTAGTATAGAGGCACCCTTATTATATAAGATAGGAAAGACTTTATTAATTAGAAAAAGGTTATATAAATAGATTTAGGAAGAAAAGCGTATAAAGAGGCGCCCTTAGCTATTAAGCAGTCCGAAGCTTGCACGCTATAGTAAATACGCTAAAATAAGTTATAATATACGAAGCTATCCGGAAGATATTTAAAGTCTTACTTTATCGATAACGTGGTCCACTACTAAGCGACGCACACCCCTAAGTAACGCACTTTTCCACGACTATAGGACAAAGAATATCAATTATACCACTATAATAACTATAAAACACCGAAACTATTCAGACTTATATATATCAGATACTTCTATATCTTCCTAGCACATACGTGTATTATACCTAGGCTTTCTATACTTACTAAAACGTTATAGAGCCCTCTTTATCCTAGTCCGCCGATTACTATTCTTACGCGTTTCACGCTCTACCTATTCCTATACCTCTTTCTAGGCTAGTATATTATATATATCTCCTATAGTAAGTAATCCTCTAAGACGTATATATGTTTTCTTAGCCCTCCGGCGCTTACTAAGTACCTTATTTACTTTCTATAATATATATATTCTCGCTGTTATAAGGGTAACCGAGTGCGCTAATACCTACGTCCCTTTCGTAAGCTAGTCGATAGTAATAAGAATCGGTATTAGCGAGCTTCCTTAATAACGGGAAATCTAATTTTTAATATATTCGGATTATAAGACTACCTCTATTAGGTTCTATAGCGTCTAGGAGTACTAAGGATCGGTAGCTATAGAAAGGGGATTAGTTGGTGTTAGCGTCTATAACTCAATATCTAGCTTAGATATTATAGCTTTAGGGTCGAAAGATACTAGGCTTATACCTTTAAAACCTCTTTTATTATGACTCTCTATTATAGCGGTAAAGTAGGCGGCTTTAAGGGTAAAGAAGAACTCGACCTTAGTAATATAATTAATATACGCTCTAATAAAGTACTTAATTTCCCGACTATATATGTTAGGGGGGGTCGGTCGGCAGGTAGGACGGGGAACACTCGGTCAGGCTGATCTAGTCTATTACTACGGATAGGCACTCCTTAGGTAGGGCAGGCTCTATATATAAGACATAGCTCGAAGAGCTATAATAGAAGACGGTCGGGATCGCGATAAAATATAAAGGTAGGCGCGAGTTTATATAACTACTAGGTATAGGGTAGGTCCCCGCTCTTAACTAGCTGTGATAATACGCCCCTTTTCTAAGGGCGAGCTCCTACGAGTATTTATTAAAGACTAGGTTTATCGGGATATCGGCGGTAATAGTTAGCGACGATTTATTATATATTCTCTAGATACTCTACGGGTTCTTCGGTCGGATTATTATACCTAACTTACTTTATAGTATACCGTAATCGTAAGTTACCTTAGCCTCTTCGTTCCTAGCTGGAATCTACTATCTCTTATACTATAAACTCTTTAGCCTTATTAACTTTAATAGGCGGCGGGGGTACGATACGTTATCTAGGATAGGGGTTATTAATAGCGGGTCGGAGTAGGTTAACGTAGAATATAAGGTATACTTTTATACTTATAGGTAGTTCTAGTTTATAGGCGTATAGCGATATAGCCTTCTCGATCTTTAAGGGGCCGATATTCTTCTAGTCTAGTTTCTTCTACGGCCGTAAGGTTTATAGGTTTCGGGCGTCTAGCTAGACTAAGTCTCTAGTACGATACGTACGGGTAGGTCGGCGGTTCTAGTTCGCTTAGTCTTTATAGCGGGCTTAGGCGGCGGTTAATTCAGACTATAGGTATTTATTAATCTACTTTATCTTACGAATAAAGTTTTTTATATCCTAGGAGGCGGGAGTATTAGCGGTAAGGATATCTAGTTCGAACCCTATCTAAGGGTAGGAGCCGTAGTTAGTAAAGAATAGCGATATACTAATAGTCCCGGATTTCTAGGAGTTAGTAGCGAATTTAGCTAGCGGGAGCTAGGTAGACTAATCGTTTTATAGATATAATATATAGGATCGTAAGTATTATTCTAAGATAGTATTAAAGCGTTTAGTCTAGCGGTCTATTTATAAGTATATAGCGGTTAATAATAAGCTCTTAATCTATAGCTATTAGTTTAAGCTATTCTAGAACTTAGAAATAAACTAAGGGCCTCGGTCGGATATAATAGTTAATAATAGGCCGTATAGCTTCTAGATATAGTATAAGTATAGATAGGCAGTCTTAGCCGAATCGTAAGTTACTTTATAAGGTATTAAGTATCTTATCTTCGTTAGATAGTCTACTACGACAAGGATTATGTTATATCCCTAGCTCGGAGGTAGGTATATAATAAAGTCTATTAATATATTTCTCTAAGCGCGTTCGGGGGTTAGTAACGGCTTTAGGACTCCTTAGTAAGCGTCTCGGGACGGGTTAGACCGGCGGTAGGTATAATAGTTCTTAATCTATCTTTCCACGTATACTAGTATACCTAGCTAGAAGTAACTTCTTAATAGGATATCGTAGGTACGGGCTTATCTAGGGTATCTAGCAATAGGTAACTTATAATAGCGGCGGAGTAGTTCAGCCTTTAGTTCGTTATAGTTAAGGACGTATAAGCGGTCTTAGAAGTATAAGCGGTTATAGTTCTTAGTATACTTAGATAGTATAATACGGGTATAGCGTCGCTTGCTTTTATAGATCGCTTCTTAAATAGATTCTAAGATTTTATTAGCGATATAGCCTTTATTAAAGAGGTCGGATAAGTCGGTAGGAAGTTCGGTTAGTAAGCGAGCGGCGTAGAACCTTACCCTCGGGTCTAGATTCTCTCTCTTTAGTATTTTCTAGCTCTAGTAAAGAAAGCGTTTATCCCCCTCCTTTAGGAGATCCTCTAACCTCCTAGTTAAAGCGTCGGGCTTAGCTCCTTACTTCCCGGGTCGGTAAGTAATCTAAAAGTTAAATCGTAATAGGAACTTAGACTAATAGGCTTATCTTCGGTTTAGTAGCTTCGTTATAGTAAAGTACTTTAGGTTATAGTAGTTAGTAATTACTTTAATTAGTAAAAAGGCTCCCTCTAACTCCGGGCGCTACTCCTCGAAGTAG